TCTTTGAATCAAGAAACAGAATTACCAGAAACCGACAAGCTTTTCGAGAAAAAGAACTAACCTGCCATCCAGCTTCAATACTATTAAGATCAGAGTTAAAATTTCCACCCAAAACCCAAATCTGAGCTAAGCTAAACTCATTAGGCATTTCGACATCCGGTTTCCATACATTAATCTTCGCTTTAGCACCGTAGAAAACCCCATCTTCCACATACATTATCGCGTGCTAAACCAAATCCAAAAGATTTTAAAAAAAGTTGTTAATAATGAACACAATCATAATGATCCAAGCCAATTCAAATGCATACCTGATGACCATTTTGTGTAAGGACACTAGCTGGTTCATAAGATTTAGGTTTAGGGATACTTTTCTGACTCTTCACGCCGAATTTCTCGACCGAATTCGCTCGATAAAGATCTTGTTTCTTCGTTCTTCTGATGGGAATTGTGTTCTTTGGACATTTCCCATTCACATGCCAAAGCTGAGTTATATCACTAAACTTCTGATTCTTCTTGTTCGATGAAACTTTACTCTCACTAAAAACACTTTCTGGGTACAAACTTGGTCTCATCTATTACAAAACCCAACAACAACAATGTCAGAATTACTCAAGAACAAAAACCACAAAGAATCGAAAAGCAGAACACTTTCTAAACCTGAACAGTATGATTAATGAGCAGAGGATGAGCAAAAGCTGGTTGGTCGGTGATTGGTACACAATCGATCATGTCACCATCTGGGCTCTGTTCAAAACCCAATAAAATCAGCAAAAAGATTGAAACTTTTTTTCTGGGTTTGTTCTCTCTATGAACTTTATTACCTTAATCGATTTAAGAGAAGGCTTGTTGAGTCGTTTCAAGTGTTTACGGATTTTAAGATCGGTGAATCCATTATCACCGGAGACAAGTGAAGGAGTGAGAATCACCACCGTCATTACAAGAGCTAAGAAGAAGTAACTAACCCTTGTCGAATTAGCAGCCATGGTTTAAAGAAAGAAAGGTTTAAGCTTTTTTCTTATACAGAAAGAGAGATTTTGTTTTTGGAGAAGATGAGAGG